CGCTTGAAACTTTTGAAATTTGAAAGTTTAAAATTAATTTTCCTATTTTAAAAACTGTACGGCATTTTAACATCTGAATAGACTATTACCATTTTAAACCCCTTTCCTATCTCTTTTACTCTAACAGGTATCGCGTGCTGTTCTACTCGCACATTCAGATCTAAAGTACCGGCGCGTGTCTACAAATTTCATGCATGTGAAATAGCGATATCTACCGCTCTCTGTCTATGCCAGTGCCGTAAGAATATAATATTTGCCAGATTTCTTACTTTTAGTTAATTGAATGTATCTTATTACCTTTAATAGATACAAAAAAGTGTAAAATGCGAATTTGTTCCGTTTAGGCTGCTGCAAATTTTGATGTAAAAAGTAACGCATTTGCACAATTTTTAACGGAGTTACAGCNTGAACGTATGAGGTTTTAGCTAAGACTGAGCGAGGTGGACAAGTGGGAGGGCGTGTTGATCGCGGGTAACAGAATCAAGAAAGGGGACGCGCAGAGCGCTCACAAATAGGCGGGAGATTATAAAAGGCGATTTCCAACATATCATGTTACGATCAAAATTCTTGTAGTAAATCCTAGTAGATTTTCCGATGTTTTGTGAAATATAAATATCTGGTCCATATCTTTTTTTCAAATGTTTATAAACGGTTGTACGATACAGACGCTTATGACCCATAACAGTCACAATATCATTCCATGAAAATGGTGACTTCTCAAGATGACTGTTTTCAATGTAGTCAAAAATTTTATTCAACGTATCAGTCATTTCAACTTTACTTTCAGATACATCTTTAAAAGTAGGTGCCATGAACCGCGTGTTACAATTAATGTGGTAACGTGCTTTTATTTCTACCAAAGGTTGAACATTGTTTAAATTTTCCAATACTAATTCACCCCACTTATCTTCTCGAAGTTCTGCAGTTGTATGGTATCTTTCGGTCATATGATCACGAGTAACCATACGACTATCTTTAAATTGCCATGGTTTGCCACATAAAAAACATAATCTGCTAAAATCAAAGTTGACTGTACCATCATCATTATGAAGAATTTCTTCACTTGTATTTACAGAGGGTTCATTCTCTGCAGGATGGTAGTTAACGCGCCCGTATCTCTTACGGCAATTTAATGAAGAAAATAATGTAGAGAATATTATTAATATGAATATTCTTGAAACAGCAAAAGTAATTGAAAGTAATGAAGCAAACTCTAAGGCAAATATTCACACGCTTGAATATTAAAACATAAAACAAATAATTGACGAATCATCTCTGTATCCAAAAATGAAGTTTTCTTCTCTGAACATTATTAATACAGAAAATTTCTGAGAACTCACGCCGTGCGAGAGTAAAGTACTTGGTAACGAATTTTCTTTTAAGCTTTAACTAATGTTTTTGGTTATTTGACTAATATGAATTTAATAAAAATTAAAGTTAGACGTAACTTTTGTAGTTATACAGAATGAAATGTTTCAATCTAGTTTTTAAGCGAATGGTGGAAAGTGGAGAAAAATAGTATATATACAAAAAATATTCACCCATTTAAAATAAACAATTTCTATCATAACTATTCTTACTTCATCTTTATTTTTTAAGAAAACGAACGTGATATGAATGATAGACAGTACATACCGTCATGAACTGATACAGAGGTTTGATCAACCCATTTTTGCCATTTGGAGTCATTTCGGTCTTTACTTTTATCAATAAAAGTTTTTAATCCTTTCGTTTTGATCGTAACAACTCACTTATTTCCTTCTTGAAGAACTTTCTCACAAATAGAGCACAAATTTGAGGATGCCATAGTGGGAATACAAAAATGTGATTCCAAATATAGAAAACAATTCACGAAAATGAAATAGAGAGATTTCTAACTGAACAGCTCGAGAGCAAATAGACGCTAAAGATGACGCCTTACCTGTTACAGACATTTTTTTTTTGCAAAAATGTAAAAACAAATTACGCTTAATCGGTAGAGAATTCAATTGTCTATCGATTAATATAAATGGTTAATGTTGAAAAGAAAAAGTCAATTAGCACATATAGTGTACAGTTGAAAATTCATTTTCCTATTTTAAAAACTGTACGGCATTTTAAAATCAGAATAGAGTATTACCATTGTAAACCCCACTTTTTCTCTTCTTTCCCATCTCTTTTACTCTAACAGGTGGCGCGTTCTGTTCCACTCGCACATTCAGATCTACAGTACCGGCGCGTGCGCACAAATTTTATATGAGTGCATGTGCAACAGCGATATCTACCGCTCTCTGTCTATGCCAGTGCCGTAAGAATATATTTGCCAGATTTCTGACTTTTAGATAATTGAATGTATCTCATTACCATTAATAGATACAAAAAAAGTGTAAGATGCGAATTTGTTCCGTTTAGGCTGCTGCAAATTTTGATGCAAATAGTAACGCATTTGGAAAATTTTTAACGGAGTTATAGCGGTTTAAACATTTAATTGTTTAAAAAAACAATGAAATAATAGAAAAAAATGTTTTTTTTTCTCTGAAAAGATAGTTTAACCGATTAAGATAAGTTACGAATCGATTAAATTATCAATTTTAAATTTTTGATAATTATTTTGAATTTTTTAAAAATTTCCGCTAATTTTGAGGCCTCTGTGCCTTTGGGCGCGCAGAACTCTTGTTCTATGAGAGATATGAAAAAAAGTAATCAATTCTGTTTTTTGCAAAATGGAATTGTGAAAAACTTTTATTGAAACTTTTTTTCCATATCTTTCATATTTCGCGAGATAATCCAATTTGCAATTGTTTTTGCGGATTTTCTCCCCCCTCGCCTATGCCGGGCAAATAATTTTCATTTACATATTCGTGTTCCTCACGAAATTTCCGATAAAATGACCCGAGTTTCAATCATTTTCTCCATTATAAGTACTTTTCAGCCATTTCCCTCATTTGACTGGACTACAGTTTGTTACTGGTTATGTCTGCTTGTGTCTTATGCAGATGACTGAAGTTTCTACGCAAGATTTGACTTTAATCAGTTTTAATTATTACTGTTCTTGGTAGACCTTCGGGCTTTCCTACTACTTTTTCCAACGTCTATGAGCAACTTTGTGTCTTGACTTTATCGTTGATTTTATATTTTTCTGGTCTTGTAGTATATTTATAATTGTAGTTGACTTGTTTCTTTCTTAATCGTTGTATTTCAGCTCCTTGCATTATTTTTGGTTTTAAATTACCGTCATTGGTGGGTAGTACAATTCTGGTATTTATGCTGAACAGACGTTAGTTAGGTGAATCTAAATGATCATTTCGTTGTGTATTTCTTCAATTTAATAAAGCAAGTTGAACATCCAACTTGTGTTGCATTTATTAGTATGTTTTCTGCTGTTTGAATGGCTCTTTCAGCAAGCCTGTTACCTCGATGATGATGTGAACTGGATGTGGCGTGGTTAAATCTTGAAAGATATTGAATTCTCTGGACATGTATTGTGTTCCATTATCAGTTTGTAACTCTTATATATTCTAGTACTCCATGTACAGAAAACCATCTTTTAAGTTGTTTGACGATTGACCTATTTAGCTGTTGAAAATCGAAATATCCAGAGTAACTGTCGCAGATTACTAAGTAAGCTTTTGACTAGTCTTGTAATAACGTCCTATTGTCCTTTCCAATAAAGAAGCAACATCTTTGTATCCCTAGATGTCCATGATGAATTCCCTTTAACATTTTAGGGATTTGTAATTTTAAGACCACAATTTTATCAGCGTTGAAAATAATTCCTTTGAAATAGCTTAGTTCTTCCTTTATGTTAAAATAATTCTGCAGGGAGATCGTTGACGTTTTCTGGAAATCCTTGCGTTATTGTCTTTAGGAGTAACTGTAAATGTAGATCTTCTTTTGTCGCAATTTTTAGCTCCACTCTAGCATCTAATTGCAAGGGCAGCACTACAGCGACTTTTAAATTTTCTTCCTGTTCATAGTTTAGGTTAGATGTTGGAGATAAATTTATTGAGGTACCTAATCATCCCTAGTAGTCTCTGCAGCTCTGTTTTATTTGTTGGTGCTTTCATTGCTTTTATGGCTTCTACTTTGTCTGGATCTGCTTCTAGTCCGTTGGCTGAAACAATGTGTCCTAGGAATTTTATTTTTTGTGCTTCCATTATGCACTTGTTTTTGTTAAGTTTTAAGTCTGCTTTGTTTAGTACTTCGATTACGTTAATTGTTTAATAAGAAATGATTTTTTTGGCCTGCTCGGCAGCTTTACAATGCACATCAATACTATATTTTAGACTAGTACAGTACAGCTAATGGACCTTACATCTCAAGCTGTACCTCCAACTCCAGCACAGCAGCGGGCGATGACCGGCATGTTGATACGCAACCTGACTTGAATGTCACGACCGACGACAGCATCGTTCCACCGTTTCTCGGCTTCGATCAACCCAAGTGCATCGGAAGAGACGAATAAGGCTGCCTCACTTGTGCTCCAAAGAAGATGCCGGATGTCGAATTCGTCATGTCCTTTTTAGAAATTCCTCTTTCTAATGCGATCTCTGGTCCTGAAAAGGAGGAATTGGACAGAGGCTATCATCATCGAGACTCGGAGCCTGCTGGAGAATAGTAGTTGACCGACCACCAAACCGCAAAGTCGTCGGCTCCAGAACCGTAATCAGGAACAAATACAAGAGTGACGGTATTCTGGAACGCCGAAAAGCCAGGATCGCCGCTAAAGGGTGCAGCCAGATCCCAGGAGTTTACTACAACGACTCTTACTCTTATTCGGCGCGACTGAGCTCGCTCAGACTTCTGCTGGTTCTCGCCGCAAAGTACTGGATGCACGTGACAACGGCATATCTCTACGGAGATATCGACACAAACATCTTCATGGAGTTGCCCAAGGTACTCGAAAAATCCCTCTCGTGGGGAAAGGGTCTCCAAGATGTTATCCACGATCCTCGAGGCAATCAGCAATCTACGAATTCAAACAAGCCGGACGACAGTGGCACTCGAAACTCTCCTCCGAGATGAGGAATAACGGATGCACACCTACTCACTCGGATCTTTGCCTCTTCATGTATAGAGACGGGCTAACGTTTGTCCTAATCTATGCCGACGATTTGATTGTCGTCACCAAGGACCAACGCAGAGAGAAGCAGTTCATCGACGCCGTCTTCAAGAGCTTTAAACTCAAGAACCTTGGCCAAGTCAGCTATTGTCTGGGTAACCAGATCAATAGAACAGGGGGAAAGCATCCACATCGAGATGAGCACCTACAACCCTGCGCCTACTCCTCCATGATCCTACTTTCGACGTGGATGACACCAACGAGGAGCGGCCTTACCAAGAACTCATCGAAGCTCTGATGCACCTGGCTGTGGTAACTCGGTTCGACATTGCCAACGCAGTTAGTGTACTCAGTCAATTCAACAAAAACCAGTTCAATGCACACTGGATTGTTGCCCGTATTCTGTGGTATCTCCGAGGAACCATCTGGGTTTGGGCCAACTGCACCAAGGACCGCAGGTCCTACACCGGCTACTGTTTCTTGCTCTCCGGAGCAGGCGGAACTTGGGAGGTCCTATCTTAAAACACGAGTTTTGCCACCAACGACTTGGAATTATTCCCGATGACTCCACCGCCAATCGTCCTATTGAGAGGGTTGAATTTATAATTCTCCCGCTTGGCGCTGGAGTGCCGAGACGCCCTGTCGCGAACGAGTCTACTTTCATCGCATAGTTTGCGTTTGCATTAAAAACTTTGTCCGGTCGTTTTTGCTTTCTTTTGTATAATCATTAAAAGTTAAAATAAATTGTTTTGTGTTCGAGTCAAAAAGGTGTTTTCATTTTATTTCGCACAATCACCACATCAAAACCAACAAAAATTCCTTATTTATACTGCACCATCAATTCTTAATAATTTCTACAAAATCAGTAGCTTTCAGAGATTGATTAAATAAATTATCAGTCAAATAAACTTTCTGTTTTTCAAAACCTTTCGAATATAAAGTCTTGTAATTTAATTTATAAGCATTCTTTACAACAAAATTACTTTCAGATTCGTAAACTTCAAGAATATTTTTTAGTTTCGCCAATTTTACCACTTTTGTATTAAAATCAAGCAAAACAAATGTATTATCCACTTTTTTGAAGTTCAACCAATTCTTACGAATATTTCTAAAGATATATACAAAATTATAAGTTACAAAAATTTTCTTATCTTGATCCGCTGGGTTTTGAAAGAATTTTTTAGAAGTGTTTTAAACATTGATCTATTTATTCTGTGGTTATCTGTAATTATAGCCAAGACTTCAAAACCGCATTTTTGAACGAAATCAATTACCTGAAACGTAAGAGAAACCATTTCATTATCGCTAATATTACATACATGTACTAATTTAACTATTTCCGAAAAACTTCCAAATGGAGAAGAAATCATATACGTCAAAATTGTTTTTTATTACACGCATACCTCACCATATTTTCAGCCCTATAATTTAATTTTCTTGACAAAGAATGACATATTTCCCAAATACTTCTCATTACTGCAGTTAAGAAATTTGAGGACAAATGTTGCAAATATCTTTTTAGTAAAATAAGAAACATTTTTGTAATATTATACGTAGAGGAGGATTGAAAATAAATTATAAATGGCATAATAGTGGCTAATGAATATCTGCTTTTTTTATTTCGAATTTGTTTTATTTGATCAAGTAATATTTCAAAATTTTTAGCAAAAGTAAAATACTCCGACTGTTCATTATTTGAAATAATAAATGCCTCTTGAAAATGATGTTCTGAATTCACTTTCGTTTTTATAGAAATCATATCTAGCCAGGAAATTTTCTCTAAGACCATCTCGATAATTTCATATCAACAAGTAGCAACCACTTAAGTCATTAAAATCTAATTTTATATCTTTAATGATAACATCTAATTTCATACTTTCGTCAGTAATTATTTGATCATTAAGTACTAAAATTTTATTTTCGAAGTAATACATTTTAGATTTTGAAAATTTAATATTCCAACGTTTAGACATTTGAATATTTTTGGAATAATGATTAATTAATTCTAAAACATTTTTTATGATATCACCATTCTTAAAATTTTGTATTTTGATCAGTTTGATTTTCTAATATTTTTTGTCTGCGTTCTTCAAGATTTTTACGAGTTTTACAGTATACGAGGAATAGTTGTGGGTCCTAACAGCGAGAAAACTTTACTTGAACATCGAAATGGACTATTATGTATATATACACTCAAAATATTTATTTCAACTGAATTATGAGTATCTACCATAGAAAATTACTTTCTTGTGTAAAAGGTGTGGGATTTTTCACTTTCTCAGAAAATGATAAAGTGTTAGGCGTAGATGAGGTTAAGAACAATTTCATATACTTATCTATCTCCGATGACGTTACTTGTAAAAATCAAAATCACATACGATCGTACTTTTGTATGGATTATAAGTATGTTGAAACTTTTTACGTAGTACAGTCTTACACTCGTGTTCTAAAACATCTAATACGAAACATCTAATTTAAATAAAATAATCTAAATATATGAATCATGTAGGCAACATACATAGTGATAAAGAAGACGAGGATTCTAGACGGCATACACTGGAAAATTCTAGAAAACATGAAGTCTCTATAAATAGTTGTCGCAAGATAGAGTGGAATCAGTACGCGTCAGAGAGTACGAGATGATAGAAAGAGAAGAAAAAGTGAAAAAGTGTTTACATAATGATGTATTAGTAACTGATTAAAATGTAGAAATGAAACAGCGATTAATTACAGAAAATAGTTTAATAAACGTAATAAGACTACGAAAAGTGTTTGAATACGTGACATTTGGTGTCAGGTGTGGGGAATAGAAGATTGGAGGAGGAGACTTTTGACGAATTCCACCGAATATTCCAAGGCGTTCATCGGCCAATGTTTAGGAATTTTGGTGGTTTTGTTGAACGATTTAACGCTACTTTGGAGACCAATTTAAGAAGTGTCGTCAACGAACGCCAAACTGACTGGGACCGACACTCCTGCCTTATAGATTCCATGCCATCCATGAAACAACTGTAAGAACACCAGTCAGCATTTTATTCGGGAAAGAACTCAGGTTGCCAGTGGTCGTCCTGGAGACTCTCCAATACCTACAGATTCATACGTGGGTAAACTACGAGAATAACTAGAAGCCAACAAAGTATGGCTACATAATCCATCAAGGCGGAAGGGACGTTGCCCGAAACTAGAACAGGTCATCCCAAGATGGTCCATACACCTTTACTCTACGCATCAACCACATTGATTATCGGATTTAGAAGAGACCTAGGGCGAAAACGAAGATTATCCATCTTAACCGTCTAGCTCCCTACAGAGGCGGCGTTACTAACCTGGACGATCAGTTTTAGGAGGGAGGCAGTGTCACATGTATGTAGGCAATCTAACATACTCAGTGGCAAAGAAGACTAGGTTTCTAACGACATATACTGGGAAATTCTAGAAAAACGTGAAGTATCTATATATAGTTGTAGCGAGATCGAGTGGAGTTCGAGGCGATACACAACGGAGAAGCGACAAAGGTGTGCGTATGTCCAACTGACTTAACTAAAACTTCAAGAGTATCTATATCCGATCGTTTAGAAATAACTTCTTTAAGCTTTGCTTCATCACTGGCTTTAGCATTCAATAAAAAATTGGTAATTTGGGTTGAAGTTACGCTACCAGTACCCATATTAACTATAAAATATCTTAAAGTACACGAAAATGGATCAAACATATTATTTTTAAAGTAAAATAAAAAAAATGTTGTTCATACGCTTACTACGATTTGACATCGAAGAAAAATTTTGCCTGAGAATATTTCTCGCATTCTTCAATGCAAAACCGTAGAATCTTTTCGTATTTGACAAATAATTCTATTATCTGAATTTTGTGTATCTTTTATTACAAATATNTGTTGTTCATACGCTTACTACGATTTGACATCGAAGAAAAATTTTGCCTGAGAATATTTCTCGCATTCTTCAATGCAAAACCGTAGAATCTTTTCGTATTTGACAAATAATTCTATTATCTGAATTTTGTGTATCTTTTATTACAAATATTTCGACGGCCATGTCACTCCACAATCCTCTAAAAGGGCCAGGAGTAAATAGTACTGAAAGTAAGTCTACTTCTTAGAATTTAGTTTATTCCTTAGACTAATTTATTGGCCCGCTATCATAACTGCGACACTAGACGCATTAAGTTAAGAGCAGTTGGAAATGAAATTCATGGGACAAGCTAGGGAATAGTACCTGCGGACATACATTCTGTAAACAAACGCTTGAAGCCAGTATGCTCAGCTAAGATCTAATCATTTTTAGTATGTGTGTGGTGTTCCGTGCGTGTGCTTTTAGAAAGGACTGAATTGTGCTGAATTATTATAGTTGTGAAAATAATCAACAATTATTGATGAGTTTACTCACAGAGCATTTTCATGTTCACCTAAATATCAGAATTGCTTAATTCTTGTTGATTTGATTTACATTTTATGGTTTTGGCATTTTTGTCTTATTTCATTAATGAGATTAGAACTCAAGTACCTGAGATATGCAATTCTCATTAAGAAGTGACACTATTACAGAGTGCTTGAGCCGTTAGCTAAAATCCTTTAATTATTTATTCATTGCCTGACAGAGTGCTTGAGTTGTTGGCGAAAATCCTTTAATTATTAATTACCTGACGGAGTGCTTGAGCCGTACAGGGTGCTGTTGTGGAGTATTTGAGCCACACACTGTATTAAAATCCTTTCAGTAATTTAGTTTCAAAGGGTGATAGTTTGCGTGTTTGGCACGAGCGTTTATGTCACCAAGGAGTGAAGCATATGTAAAATTACTTTTAAAGAATAAAAATATAAATTTTTCGTCCGATGATTTTGTATGCGAGGGCTATATCTATGGGAAAGTGCATCGTTTACCTTTTCATAAAAAGGTTGAAAGGGCAACGAGGGTACGGGAACTTATTTACTCTGATGTTTGCGGACCGATGGAGGTAGAATCACTCGGTAGAAAACGGTATTTCGTGGACTTTAAAGACGATTTTTCTGACTTTCGGGTGATTTAATTTATTAAGCAAAAATCAGAAGTTTTTGACAAATTAAAAATTTTTTGTGCTGAAACCGAGAATCGTTTTGCGGAAAAAATTAAGGAGCTACACACTGATGGTGGAAAGGAGTTTGACAACGGTCAGATTATTGCAAAAATCAGAAGTTTTTGACAAATTAAAAATTTTTTGTGCTGAAACCGAGAATCGTTTTGCGGATAAAATTAAGGAGCTACACACTGATGGTGGAAAAGAGTTTGACAACGGTCAGATTATTGCATACTTAAACGCCAAAGGGATAAAATTTTCTATAAACGCTCCATACACACCGGAACATAATGCTGTCGCGGAACGAGATAACCGTATAATCGTTGAGGCCGCGCGATCGATGCTATACTTCAATCCGGAATTGCCGAAATTTTTGTGGGCTGAGGCAATGGGGACCGCGGTATACGTAATTAATCGGACCGGTCCAACGAAACATGGAGGGAAAACTCCGTATG